GTATAGCAAAAAGAGACCCTTTACACATTTTCCACCGACAACAAATATCAGCATTGTGATCATACACTGGATATAAGGATTAATCCAGCCCCACCACGCAAATGGGCCAGCATTGCAAACATTTCTTAAACAATACAAACAGAAAAAAACTGCACCCAACAGATTGCTCCAACACACTCTGGTGAGGGTCTGTCCCTTTTTGAAACTTATTTCAAACCTCTTCAGCACCACGTTGGGCACCAAAAAGGGCTGTGGTGGTTTAGGCCCTACCAGGACCAGAGACCATGTTGCCATTGTTGCTCCCCTACCCTCGGCCGTTCAGGGTTGGAAGTGAGGCACAAACCCCAGAATTGAAATGAGAAAAGTTTTAATACAACAGTGTAACAAATAACAATCTGAACAACAACAATAGCAATAACAACAACAATAAACAGTAATAACAGTAAACAAGACAAAAGATATACAGGGAAATATTGCAGTGAACACAGCCAGCCTGCCGTGCGTGCTGCCCGCAACATACAGTGTGTAGTTCTTCATTCTTCCAGTCCTCTGTGTCTTGAGTGGTGTGGCTGGAGCTATTGCTGGTGAAGACTGAGGAAAAGAAGTCATTCAGAACCTCAGCCAACTCCATGTCCTGGGTAACCATGTCTCCCATTTCCTTCTGGAGAGGGTCCACATTTGCCCTAGTTGTCCTGTTATCATCAACATACCTATAGAAGCTTTTCTTATTGGCCTTGACATCTCTGGCCACATTTAATTACATCAGGGCTTTGGCCTTTCTAACCTGATCTCTGGCTGCTCAGTTTCTCTGCATTCCTCCCAAGATACTTGTCCTTGTTCTGTTGCCTTCCTTTTTGTGTCTGAGTTTGTCCAGGATCTCCTTGTTCATCCATGCAGGTCTCCTGGTGTTCTTATGTGACTTCCTCTTTGTCAGGATGCATCACTCCTGAGCTTGGAGGAGGTGATCCTTGAATATCAACCAGCTTTCTTGGGCCCCTCTTCCCTGGGCCCCTCTCCCCTCCAGGGCTTTATCCCATGCTACTCTGCCAAGCAGATCCCTGAAGAGGCTGAAGTCTGCTCTCCTGAAGTCCAGGGTAGCGAGCTTGCTGTGCACCCTCCTCAGTGCCCTCAGGATCTTGAACTCCATTATTTTATGGTCACTGCAGCCAAGGCTGTCCTTGAGCTTCACACTCCCCACCAGCTCCTCCTTGTTGGTGAGAACACATAAGCAACTCCTTTGAGGGCTGTAATGCATATATCCAGCACAATTGTAGGATCTGCTACTACAAACAACTATGCACCACTGTAGAATTTAGTGACTGCATAAATAAGTGTAGGAATCCTTCATGTAAGGTGTTGATACTGGAAAAGGTTTATGTTCTACACTAAACTTTTTTTTTTTTTTTTTCCCCCAGCTTTACCAGTTGCTAACATGTATAGTCTAAGAGATATTGAGATTACGGAGGAAATTTCTACTCATGTATATGAGCATCATCTTTCAAGAATAACAGAAATTACACAGTAGTTCTGTGAATATGTACAAAGAATACTGTCTGAAGTGACAATGAATCAATCCCACCATCAATATAAGGTTCTTTAATCTGTATTTGGGTTCCTAAACCAAATTATTATCAAAAAGTTGGATATTGAACTGTTTAACTTGATTTTAAATTCAGAAATGTCTACTAGCGTCAAGTAGGAGAGGATTTAATTTCAAGTGAAGACTTACTTTACTGACAATGACAATCTTCAGTTTTCTTAAGTTTGGACATTAGGCAGGACAGAAAGCCCAAATACTAGGAAATTTCCTCCAAGATGCAGTACTACAGGAGTAAGATAGTAATTGGGTTTTGTCAACTGCTTTTAATGATTCTGCCTTATGTGATAATAAGGAAGGATGTACAATCTAAGATTAATGACAGTTATTGGAGGTTACCACCTCCAGTACAGCAGATAAAACAGCTGAATACTTGGCTCTTGAGTTTGCTTGACTAGGCATAAATACAAAAAAACTAAAACAGCTAGAAGGATAAAATGGAAGTGATGTAAATTGTGATGTTTAGGATAACAACATTACAATGTGTTGCTAAAGTTCAGTGCTAAAGGTCAAGAAATACAAAAAACCCAAACAAACCAAAAATAGAAATCAATGTTTATCTTCTATTTGTATTTGATATGAAAGTTGATCTTACTTCTGGACAGCCCAGTGCAGATATCTTTTTATTATGAGAGTAAGCTACTACCTTGCCCTCTACAAGGACATGACCTTAAAAGAGTCTGAAAGGATATGCTGAAGAGTATAGTGGCCTCAATCTCTACATCCTGAAATATATACCTAAATATAACATGCATATATAGTTTACTTAGAAAACACGGTCAAGGATTACATCTGAAGAGAATGATCTATGTGCCATTGGAACAAACAAACTGATACTATTCTCCCATGCTATCTGGTGCTATCTGAAGTCAGAAATGCATTTCAGTTATGAAGAAAGATTTTCAAGAACAGAAGAGAGGCAAGAAATGTCTCTATCTTGATCTTCCACTTTTGCCACCAAATTTGCTGTTATTTAATAATCTGTAGTTGATATACTGTGCCAAATCAACTATGCCCTTATTTTTTTCCAAATGCATTTCTAACCACTGTTTATGTTTCAGCTTAAATCTTATCTAGAGAAATATTTAGATGTTTCTCTGCATCATTTCTTTAAAAGCTCCCTTTGATGTATTCTTGCCATAAATCAGTAGCATTCTGTATGTTTCAAAATTAAGAATGATTTTCAATTGATTGACTATATTCACACCTCATGGAAATTGGTATTTTAGTAAGCTATCCTGGTTCAGCTAGGATAGGGTTAAGTTATCCCTGCAGTGGGGAGGGAGCTCTAGCCAGGTTATTCGATACCATGCTGACGTCAGGTCCAGGCGCCCGAAGGGCAGGAACAGTTTTCTTTGTTGCTTTTGTCCCAGAGGGTACCCACGACGGAACTGCTCTGTCCTGTTGGTATATCTCTGTATATCTTTTGTCCTGTTTACTGTTACTATTGCTTATTGTTATTGTTGTTGTTCCACTGTTGTATTAAATTGTTACACCGTTGTATTAATTTTTTCCTTATCTCAACCCTGGGGTTTGTATCTCACTCCCTGCCCTGTCTGGTCCGAGGGTGGAGGAGGAACCACGGCAACATGGTCTCGGGTCCTGGCAGGGCCTAAACCACCACGGACGTAAGCTTATCTCCAGATTCACTTTACCCAATTCTATGACAAAATGGATTCTCTGTCAATCCATGTAGACATTATTTCAGAATATGTCCCACCATAGCTCTAAAAATTATCTACTGAATTACTAAAGACTAAGATGCTACAACTTTACATTTTCTCTTCTGACACACTTTGAAGTCATAAAATCTATTACAGGAATTAATGTCTTCATAACAAAAAACATACAACAAAAAAATCCAAGAACAAAATACTTCAATGAATTTTTATACTCTTGTAATTTAACGAATTTTTACTTTCAATAATTTATACAGTATTATGTTAATTTATTACATCAATATCTATAGTAAAGAAGTCAGTTAAAAAGCCTCAGGTTTTACTTATTAATTAAGAACCTTTACACTGAGAATATGTAGCATGTAACGATCTTAAAATACAATGTTTACAGTAAGGCTGTGCAGTAAGTAAACATACAATAATGACACAGCAAACCTATGTCTCAGTGATCCTATGTCATATGAGGTCAGTTAAGAATTAGATTTCCTCTACTCCATCCAAGCTACTGATGACACAAACATAAGCAGGTCTCTAAATGGTTGTCCTTTTTATTGTTTCCCATAATTTGCTCTTTCCCAAGACAGGACAAGATGACATACAGGATAGCCAGGCCACCTCACAGTTATTAGAATAAGCTGTGAGTAACAGATGTGCAACACCATCATCATCACCAGATCTGCACCAGGATGAGGCTTTAGAACAACCTTCCCACAAGAGTACAAGGACAAAAACATAGCTACTTTTAAGATTGAGCTTTATCAGTTTATGGAGGAGATTAGGCTCTAACTTCTAACAATAGCAGTGGATTGGACTAGATCATGCATCTTCCTAAGGATGTTCCATAATTGTATCTTGAAAAATGAATTCAATGAAACTTTATGGCCTTTTTTTTTCTTTTAAGAAATTAACAGCTTGAGGAAAAAAATAAGTTTATATGTACAGTGCCACTGTTACTATGGCTTAGCAGATGCTTGCATTCAAATTCTGTGAAGAATACTTACAAAATTTAAGAAAATAGAAAAAGAGGTTTATATATATATGATATTCAAATCCCTTGGTCAGAAAAGACAAACAGGGCACACAGCACATGTATGGAGAAAAACTATAACCTTATTCATAAAGCTATGTCTGTACGGAAATGCTTGTCTGTTTCATAATCACTACCTGTATAAAATCTGAATGTACTCAAAGCTGAAGTGCCCCAGTTTCTGAAAAAAAACCCAAACAAACAAACCCAAAACCCAAAAAAAACCCCACATCCAGTCTGTCAACAAACAGTTAATATGGCCAGAAAGATGTTGCTTGTATTTTCTGTATCATGCTCGTAGGATTTATCTATGTCGAGCTAAGTCACTTAATTCATTCAAATAAATTTAGGTAATAGTGCAAATCCCTGTCTGGAATGATAATGAGCACATGTTAAAGTAAATATTTTAATAATAATAATAATAATAATAACAACAACAACAACAACAACTTTTTTAAACTATATTTTGCTGATTTAGATGTTAAGATAATAATTGTTATTTAATTTATATTTATTTCTACAGCAGCTATAAGAAATAACACAAACACTTGCTCAGCGTATTTAATTCAACATATCAGGAACTTTCCTTAGCAGAAAAACATTTCAGCGTCTGAAGCACAAACAAGCCCACAGAGAACATAACTTGAAAGTAGAGAAAGAAAAAATTAATGAGAAAAGTAGAAGTAATTCTTTCTACCTGTGAAGTTCAAGGTAATATTTCAAATCCCTCAGATCTCAGGCACATCCCTGTGCTATTCATCATCTGTATGTATTTGTTAATGGATTTGGTGAGCTAAGAGAGGTTGAATAGCCAAAGTGTGGATGACAACCAGCTGGATATCATTTGTACAAACTGTACTCTCTCTCACACATCTGCTATTACTAATTTTCCAAATTTGGAAAACTAGCTAAAGCTGGACACAGGCAAGATAAAGCTGATATTATTAGAAAAACAGACCAACTCTTGAAAAGTTTGTCTCCAAGATATTGTTCTAAAACACTGAGATTCTGTGCTCTAAGAATTTTTACAGAACACTCAGTTTCACAGTTCTGTTCAGACACTTCAGGGGCCACTTGTGCTCCAATAACCATAAAAGAAAAAGAACTCAAAACCCCCACATACCACAACCACCTCCAAAAAATAAACCTCTTTAACTGCAACAAGATTGCACTCCATTCTCTGGAAATCTGAATGGGATACAACTACATGCATGTTCATAGCCAGCAAGTTAAATATGAAAAACAGGCTGTAGGTTAGTAAAAAAAAATTACAGAGTTCTTCCCAACATTAACCTCACACTTGAAAGCAGAGTTCTTAATTGTTCTTTCCTGGCATCTAAACTTATGTATGAATTAGATCTTCAAGATCTAACATATCATCTTTCATTCAATCATTATCAGTCTCCCACTACAGACATTTTCAGACAACAGGTAACAACTAGAAAAGGAAGTTAGGAGACAGAAAATAGTAGCATTAATTTTAGTGTTCTTAGACCTCGGTTTGCTGGGGGTGGGGTGAGGAATCAATGCTACTATAAGCAACCCAAATGGTTCTTTAACCATATCGAAAAAGAGACTACAAAAGGTCAAAACCAAAAAGATTAGGGTTCAGACTATCAATAAACAAGGTAACTCATGTCTCATTAAAAAAGAGGTTACCGAGTAAGAGGCAAAAGCAGGTTGTCCAATAGCACAAGTCAATGCCAACAATTATATCTAAGACAGAAAAAAAAAAAAAGATCTTAAAACATATAAATCAAAGGGATGGGATAAACTCTATCTTCCCCAAAAAACCTGCAAGTAGAGATATTTGGTTTCAAGAGACCATGAAACAGTTGAATACAAACTATACAACTATTTTACAACAAGAACAATGGAATCAGTCAAAAGGAGAGTGAGAAAAGACCCTCACAAAATAAGTCAAACATTGGATGTGATAAATTGTGGGAAAAGTATGAACCATTAATGGGATGTGGTCATGAGAAGAGATATACAATGCATTAGAAAAGCTATTTTCAACACAGAAGGAAGCTTAACACCATTATACCAGGCACTCACGCACTGTTTGGTAAGCGTATTTGGGAGAGATGGATTTAAACATATTAAATGCAGTGTTTTTAAAAAATGATGGAAGGAGGAGGGAATTACCAGAGATATGGAAGTTTTATTTACATCAAGACACCATAAAGCCTAAGCATCAGGGTTCAAATTGGCCACGTAGGCCAGAAAGTAGATAAAGGTTCCAATATCTGAACCAAGCTTCTAGTCAGTAGAAACATTAGGAAAAAAACTCCATTAAGTAGGAAAAAAGCAGTATCAACTTCACCAATATAAAGACTTATAATATACAGCTCAAGAAAAAAGATGATATTAATGCTTTTCCACTCCAACAACTGCTTCTGAGAGCATCCCCCATCATTAAACAGGAAATTAGACACTGGGCACTGAGTGGAAAGATTCATCACTGATGAAGATTGTAGAAACTATTAACTATCAACTTGTCTGCTTACACACAGCTTCCCACGTAAAACTAAACAAAGTAGCAAAGGTGAAAAATCTAAGAAGGAGCCTCAGCAGAGACGACCCTGCAGTCAGGGTCATCACCATAAGTGAAACCACCACCAAAGACAGAAAGAACTGGAAGAGACAAGTTTCCACTCTTCAGATTGCTTTGAGAACTCGTATATGATATTGTTAACATTAAAAAAAAAAAAAAAAAATGTACAAGCCTTTACTTCTAATCTAGTAATTCCAAACATCACAGCAAAATCAAATTCTCCAACCTGTGCTAGAATCAGATAAGGAAAAAATGGCCCAAATGGATTCAGCCGAGGTGTACATATTATAGGACTGAAATGGGGAAAAGAAGATGGTACAAAGCTTCCATCCTTATCCTGTGTCCAGCAAACAACTCAGCTGCTACCACAAGTAATTGCTAACTTGAACACTATGTCACTGAATTGCCTGTACCTACAGGTGCATTCTCAGTTCTCACAGACAGTTGCTATAATTCAAATGTTAGATTGATACTTACTTGTCTTCTCGTGCTGGGGATCTTTTGCCTCATATAACAAAATATGTGAGTTACATGGTATCATCACTAGAATTTGCTGAAGTAACTCTTATTGTCCACATCAACTCTGACCCACAGACTGCAGGAAGAAGAAACATTGCCTTCCCTAAATTATCATCTCCTATTCCCACTGTTAGAAATAAAATACTGGCCCACTGAGTTAAATGGACCATTAGTTGAACTCACTGAGGACTTTCTAATGTTGTTCTTGCTACATGGAAATTTTCCTCATAGCAGATGACCAAATTACAAATTCATCATATTCTTATGGGTCCTTTAAATAGCCAGAGCTACTCAACCAGTCTAGGATTTGGTGTAACAGAATGCACAGAATGACACTTCTGTTAAAACAGAGATGGAAAAAGACAGTAGATATCTTGTCAGGGAGAATAATTAATAAGTTACCAAAAAAAAATAATAAGTAAAACAATGCTCACAAGGTATTTTATAATTGTAGCATTATCTGTATTACTCCATACATACTCCACACTACCTTTGCAAGTTCTTTAGATCACCATGTCTCCATATGGATTACAAACATGAGTCAAAGATGACTAGTTTTAACTGAAGCTTTTGAACAGTTCTGATATGCAAAACATAAATAACAATAACACAAACTTAGTTTGATGGATTTGTGCAAGGCACTTCTTCTCTAACAGAATCCTTAAAATATATCAGTAACCTATACAGCTGTGCCTTTAATCAGGAAATAAATGGCACAACCTAAGTGAACTGCTGCTATTTTAGGACTACAAAAAATTAGGAAGTGCAAAAGTTAGCAACTTGAACTTAATTTAAAACAATGGGAAATATGCCTTAACATGAATAACTTAAGCAAAATAACACTTTGCTAGAGCCTGAAGAACATTTGATTGTTCTCTGTATGGGTTTATTAGCAGGATTCTTCTCCCTAAATGCTCTTATGAATAGCAGGAAACTGCATAATGTCATGACAAAATGTTTAGACAAGGCATAAAACCAGAAAGCTCTACACTCCTAACATAGAAGAGTTTTAAACTCTATAAGTAGTTAGAAAGAGACACATTTCTCAGCCCATAACGTATCTGACAGACAGAGTGCATGATCCTCAGAAAGATGTTTGTGAAACAAGCAGTTTTGGGGCCTGAAAAGGAAATTTCTAAATATTTATGTTCTGTATCATGCAGTGGTTAAGCCAGTTATCAGGAACACTATGGTCTTCACTGATTTTAAAATCCAGGATTATGATCTTTACTACAGCATTTCAAGTAAGTGAAGATCTCACTCAGACTTTCCTTTCACACCTGCCATTTTCAAGTCTTCCAAAACAGTTTCTCAAATCTCCACATGATCATTTGTATGCAAACCTACATTTCTGAAGACATCAGGAAAAAAAAAAAAAAAACAAAAAAAACCCAGAAAGAACTTTAAACACTTATTTCTTCATTTGCAGAGATTGCTGTCTTAAATTTGTTCTCATAAGCTTTGTTTGCTTAACCTTTAGTTTTCTTTTTTACTTGAATAAGTTTTTTTAGTTCTTTAAGCTTGTTTTTGCTTCGCCCTTCCGCACTTGTCCCAGCTAGGAAAAGCACTTTAAGTATAAACAAGCCCAAATCTCTCCCTCCCAACGGAACGCCAGCGTTTTCCACGCATTTCGCTTCCTCTAAAGACTGCTGCCTCCGCGTTGACTCGATTTTAAGTTTATGTTCCCCCAAAAGCACCTCTGTGCAGGGATATGCATACAGTCGCAAAGTCCCCAAACCAGTGCGCAGCCCCAACAGCACCGCCAGCCCGCTGCCGGGTACCTCAGCCCTCCAGATGCCTTCAGACCCAAAGCCGCGAAAGCTCCGCAGGGCCAGGCCGCTTCGCCTCGCCTCGCCTCGCCCCAGGCCGCAGGTGG